GGCGTCCACTTGGGCAGTGTTTGCAGGCGCCGGGTCGCTCTGGGACCTTCAGAACCTTCAGGAGGTCGGAGGCGACTTGCATGGATGCGGGGATTTGGTTTCCTTGTCTCTCTCTCTCTCTCTCTCTCTCTCTCTCTCTCTCTCCCCCTCTCCCGCCCCCCATTCCTAAACTTACTTGGCAAAGAATTCCATCTAGTTTCTCTCTCTCTCTCCACCCCCTCCTGTCCCAGACTTTAAAGCCATGAACATCGAGTGTATTTGTGCGGCTGGGAAAGGGTTCTTAAATGTCACAGGTGTCAGTAGCTGGGCAGATGTCAGGTCTGCCCCGAAGGGGCACAGGCAGGGATATTGGGGACATTCTGCAGTTGAAACGGATTTTCTGCCATCCTGGGCAGACTGGCAGGGATGGGGGGAGTGATGGGAAAAATCCCCTTTTTGCCATTTGGCTCGATGGTGCGGGATGAGGTCACCGGGTTGGAGTGTGACCATTGGAACCGGTGCACAGTGGCCGGGCCCAGGGACTGTGCCTCTACTTGCAGATGAATGGATGTGGCCGGTCACTTCCTGTTTCTGGCTTCTCGTCTTTGATCATAAAATTTGAAAAGAAAAAGAGTGTTTACCGGGGAGCCCAGTGGCGGAGTCTGATCAGATGCAAAGGCCGCCTTGCCGGCTGGGCCTGGCCGGGGGAACCTGACATATATATCGGAGCCCTTTGGTCACGTGGCCGCTGTGGTATCAGACTCGCATCTCTTATCTTCTGGCAGAAAGGGGTGAAAACAGGGCCCTGTTTTGAAAGAAAAAAAAAAGTGTCTGCCTAGATTGCAATTCAGTTTTTGAACCAAAGCCCAGGAGTCGGTGGCACGTCTGAGAAGTTGGTGGAAGGGGATGTCTGAGCGAGGCAGTGCCACCCCCACCCCCTCCCTACCCCCCTGTCCAGCTCCTGGTGGGAAAGTGGAACCAGCAGGCAGGTGTGTCCTTCCCCCCCAGATAATGGGCGGAAAGTGAGGCTGGTGGTGGCGGCCTTGCCGTCCGTGTGTGTGGTCTGCTGCTTCCAACGTGCCTAAGTCGAGTAATTACGTGTCAAGAGAAGTAGGGGCCACGCATGTCACTGAAGGAGCGTGATCCGTGGCTGCTGGTGGCCGGAAGGGGCGGGCGGAGCCAGGCGGTTCGTAATATTTCGAGGCCTGCTCTGTGCATAGGACCATGCGGCTTTCGTTTAGATTCTATATGATAAAGATGATGCATGTAAGAATATATATATTTAAAAAATTTATATTTAAAATATATATTAAAATTGTATATTTAAAAATACATTTTTTTATTGATTTCAGAGAGGAAGGGAGAGGGAGAAAGAGAGAGAGAAACATCAGTGAGGAGAGAGAATCATAGATGGGCTGCCTCCTGCACGCGCCCCTCCCCCCCATTGGGGATCAAGCCTGCAACCTGGGCATGTGCCCTGACCGGGGATCGAACTTTAACATCCTGGTTCCTAGGTCAGGGTTCAACCACTGAGCCACACCGGCCAGGCAAGATGATGGTTTTCATGGAGGCATCACTTAATTCTTTATAAGGTACTTCCAGATGTACTATTCAGTTTACCTAATCCTCACAATTTAATTTACTTGATCCTCACAATTGCACTGTGATGCGAACTAGGCCCTTTACAGGGGGAAGCTCAGAGGTGAAACGTTTTGCCCGGGTCTCCGGCCTCCCTGGCCTCCCCTCTCTCTCAAGTTGCTGACATGGGAAAATGGCAACAACAAAACTGTATTTGCGCCGCACTGCGGCCATGTCGCCCCCCCGGCACCTACTCAGACCAGCACACGGTTCCTTTTCCAAGTGATGAGAATACTAGAGGTCCGATGCATGAAATTCGTCCAAGGGGCTTGTCCTCCTCTGCCGTCTGGAACAGTGGTTCTCAACCTTCTGGCCCTTTAATACAGTTCCTCGTGTTGTGACCCAACCATACAATTATTTTCGTGGCGACTTCATCACTGTCAGGTTGCTACTGTGATGAATCGTCATGGAAATATCTGATCTGCAGGATGGTCTTAGGCGACCCCTGTGAAAGGGTCGTTCCACCGCCAAAGGGGTCGTGACCCACAGGTTGAGAACCGCTGGTCTGGAAGCACATCCAGGCTAATTAGCATATTATGCTGTTATCATTATAGATTGTCTTTACGGAGATGGTTACGCATGTCCTGGGACGGGAATATAATGACGATCTTTTTTTTTTTTTTCGTTTAGGGAAAACCCAGAAAGAACCTTTGACCTGGTATTGAACGTGAAATGTCACTCCTCTGAAGGCGAAGGTACGTACATTCTGTCCATTCCTTAGATGGCCGAGTCCGTCCCAGGGCGTGTCCGCGTGGGGGACGCGTGAGGGTTCTCGCTGCGTGTCTCTCTGCGCCTCCTGTCGCCTCACGTTCGTGGCTGGGAATGAAATCGCTGCGGGTCTCGGCCCTGCTGGCAGGAACCGTGAATGTTGTCTGTGCAGCTTCGGTGTCAGGTGTGGGAGACACACAGCTTCCAGCACTGCCGTCCCGTGGGGCTGTCATGTTTCACTTCCTTTCACTCCTCTTCGGAAAGGTGGCTCCTTTTCAAAACGCCAGTGAGGCCCGGCCGGTGTGGCTCAGTGGTCGGGCACGGGAGGGAGGGAGGGAGGGAGGGAGGGAAGCAGGCGTGGGACATGCCTGGGAAGGGTTTCAGCTGTCAGTTCTGTGCAGTTTCCTGCAAAGACAGAGCCCTTTGCGAGGGTGATTTTTGTTCGTTTTCCACACTTTTGTCGTGTGTGTGTGTGTGTGTGTGTGTGTGTGTGTGAGAGAGAGAGAGAGAGAGAGAGAGAGAGAGAGAATGAGGGTTATCTTCCTGATCCTTTCCTTTTCAGCATGTCCTGTGTGATGTTTTCACGGGTGTGGCTGGGGGGGTTTCCCTGGCGGGGGGCTT